TTAGTATATTCATCTTTGGTGAAATTCTTGGGTATTGATATCTCTAAAAATTTGAGCTGGTTGAATCACATTCAATATATCTGCCTTAAGCTGATCAAGGCTCTATATCTGATCAAATCCTTTCATAATTCTGTTAGTTTTCAGGTATTAAGAAATGTATATTTTCCTAAATTTGAATCCATATTTATGTATGGTATTATGTTTTGGGGTGGTGGAGGTAAAGAGATAGATACAGTTTTTAAAGTACAAAAAAAATGCAAAAGAGCCATTATGGGCGTTGATAATCGGGCATCCTGCAGAAGGCTGTTTGGTGAGTTAGAAATTTTAACTGTTACTTCTTTGTATATACTGGAGATTTTATGTTTTATCATAAAAAATAGAATCTATACAACTCTGAACTCTGATGTGCATAATTACAATACAAAGCATAAACATAATCTGTATGCCCAACATTGTAATACAAATCGTTGTAAGAGAAGTGTGATAAACATGGGCATAAAACTATACAATAATCTTCCTATGGAGTTAAAGAATGTATCTGATTTTAAAGTGTTTAGGAGGAAATTGAAGTGTTATTTGTTGCATAATGCCTTCTACTCTCTTCAGGAGTTTTTTTATATGTAAGATGTTGAATTAAATGACTGTAATTGTCTGTTAATGCATGTGCTGGTGGTTTTTTATATAATTTATTTAAGTATTTATGTATTCTTTGATTATGTTAGGTGTGATTGTTATTAAATCTATATATTCTCTTTGACTTTATCCGATTGTATATTTTACAGTTATGGATGTAAATAAAATTATGAATTATGAATTAAATAACAAAATCTCTATTTGAAAAATTCCCCCAAAATATATTATATTTACAATTTAAATTTACAATTTACAGTTCATTATTATAAATGTGTACTTACATTTTGTCAAGCTATTTCGTTTTCCCAGCTCTCCATATCCAGTGTCTAGTAGTTGACATTGGTGTGGTATTGCTCAAAACATGGGTCTAGGCAGAGAGACGGTGTCCCGGGGCAGTTTTTACACCTGTATCTAGTTTGTTTTCTCTTTCCACCTTCTTCTTCCAACTTTATAAGTTTCGGTTTTGGGATTTTCTTAAACGAAATGCTGTCCCATCAATCTTGTACATTCCATGTCGGTATCTGAAGGACGCCCTTCGCGCTTTTCTAAATTCTGTCCATGGGACTTTGCTATGATCTTATTCACTAAGTTTATTCTGAATAAAAGATGATCTTTCTTGTTACCAGCCTTGCAGTACAGAATGTAAGCATTCAACACTTCTGTATTTACTAAGTGGTTGAATAATTTCTTGTACCACGCTTTTTTCCTTTTCCTTTCTAGCAAGAATGTTTCTAGTAGCTGATCTTTCAAGTCTACACCTCCCATATATTTATTATACTCTATTACACACATAGGTTTATTTACAAATTCTAACCCACCCTTTTGACTTATGGGTTGCATTTCGTCTGAATGTTTAGTAGACAGCACTGAGACATCGCGCTTATCCTTCCACTTCAACGCCACCAATTTCCCACACTTTGCACTAACTACTTCTCCTTTCTTCAGTTTCTTTTTTAGATCTATTGGCATAACTATGCGCATGATACTCACTGTTCCAACAGCATCTGTTGTCCTCTGAACTACTAATCTCTGGAAAAGATTGGGACTGCTATAAAAATTGTCCATATAAACACATCTGCCTGAGTCTAATAGTTTCTCGCACAAACTTAGAACAACTTTTGTTGAGAAAAGATCTGTGTCTTCAGTGATTTCACAGCCTAATTTTATCCCTGATCGACTGTAGATTATAAAATTTCACAAATATCCTGCAGAATCACAATGTTCAAAGATTTTAATCCCAAACTGGGAAGCTTTCATAGGAATATACTGTTTCCACGAAAGTCTACCTTTCCACAATAACAAAGATTCGTCGACACTTACTTCTTTTCCCGGTATGTACACTTTCTTGAACTTCTTTTTCAAATATTCACTAACTGGAAGAATTTTGTACAATTTAGGATCTCTTTTTACAGTTTCCTTATAGGTGTTATCTACAAAATGGAGAAATCTGGTCAGCAATGAAAACCTTTCTTCACTCATTACAATGGGAAGAAATGGTGTTTCTAACATATGTTTCCTACTAAAATACATCCTGAGGTTTGGTTTCTGAATTATTCCCATCAGCATAAACAAACCTAGGTATACCCTAATTTCATTCGAAGTTGTGGGAACCCACTTTTGAAACCGTGATTTTATTTGCGTCAGGGGCAAGAAACTGTCCCGCCAGACAAGTTACATGACCCAGATGCCATGGGGCTCCGATAAGAGAGTGTCGCAAGGCAGAAAAGGAATAACAAATTCAAAATGTTGACACAGGCGTCAGGCAAATTCGACCCCTAGGTTGGTAACATTGTAAATCAGACACAGCTGCTTTGTCGCCAGTAAGCCAAGCCAGTAAAAAAAAAAATACAGACACACAAACAGATAACAAGCACTCAATGAAAGTTAGCTAACAAATTATCTCTCTCAAAGCAAGTCGGAATGTGAGTGGGAACAATTCTTTCGTAAGCAGCAGACACCAGATGCTTTGTCCCAAGCAAAGCGAGTAAAAAAAATACCACACACAAACAGATAGCGAGGAATGAAAGAAGTCAGTATTAGCTCACATATACATTCACTGGAATTACATCCATCAAAGCGTCGGCATTAAGAATTCTTAGTGAAAAGTTTGGACTCAACATATGGGATGCGCACGCTTAGAGCATGGGTTTCAGCCGATGAAGATGTGCCGCACACGCTTAGGGATTTAAATGGCTCCGCTTAAAGTCACGCTCAAGGGGTTAAATAAGCCAAGAATGAACCATGCTGGCCTGTCTGCATCCAGCCTTATGTATTTTCTTTCGCAGCCAGCAATGTTGCAAGAAGAGAGGTGCCAGTGGAATGCGGTGTGCGTTATGGGCCAAAGGAAGGACAAATGCTGGATGTGTTTGGAGGACAGTCACTGTCACATGGTAATTGTAATAAGCAGGACCAGTTCTCTTCTCTTCTGTGCTCTTCTCCTCCCCTTTCTTCTTACCTCCTCCTGTCTGTTTTCTCATATCTTTTCCCTTTTATTTCCTTATCTTCTCATCCCATATCCTGTCGGGCCTCTTCTTTCTTTTCCTGTCTTCTCTCCTCTTTTCTGTTGTCTTCTTTTCCTCCCTACTGTCCTCTTGTCTCTGTCCTAGTCTTCTCATCTGAGACAATGCTATTCTTACAGAACTACTGGGTTTTTGGACTTATTCTTGTTGTAGTGTTGTTGAAACAGCTGACATTGTGGCTCTCCCCCTCTGCAGATGCCCCTATACTGGTGTACATACATGGAGGTTATTGGCAAGAGTTAAATCGGGACATGTCAGCATACTGTGTCATGCCCCAGTATCAGTCTGGGATCAGAGTCATCATCGTGGGATATGACCTCACACCAAAAGGTCACTTCCTGTACCCAATTTTACTTTAGTCACTTGAACAGAGCATTTTAAGTAACAAGAATGAGATGAGCTGGGCACGTAGCATATGTGGGAGAAACAAGAAACAAGCACAAAATGTTGTCCTGACCAGTTAAATCACAAATCACATAGGATATGCTTTTTCTAGGATCATTACTGTGATTAAAACAAGAATGTGATGGAAGAGATGTGTAGAATGCATTTGGGAGGCAAAAGTGCAGACAGGTTTGGCTTGGAAGTTTCATAGGAAGATACCAATTTTCAGATCAAGAAGCAGACTAAAGGATAATAATACAGTGAGTCTTAAAGGAGTGGGATATGTGTCATATCAGTTTGTCCGATTTACTCTGAAATTGGATTTAGTTAGTACATTTTTAATTTTAGTTCTGAACACCAAATTTGCCCCAAATCCCCACTATCTGTGTGGAGTTATGTATAAATGGACAGAAAAATGGCTCACTGTATGAGGTTTAAGGTTCTCACAGCTTTGACTGGCCTTCTGGGATGTGGCACCATGTTCGTGTAGACTTGTATTTGGGAGGTGCTCAAGTTCAGATCTCAGCTGGGACACTGGCTGTCCTGGTTGAGGTGTTTCATAATTTCTTCCAAATCCTTTTCATGTTATCAGTCATTCTACATAGTATCCTACATACTGACAGCATTTTTAAGTAAGTCACGAAATATGACCATGTATTATAGTAATTATGTACAAATGTTTCTCTCCAACTTGTCACTGTTGCGAGTGTACTTCTGTGTCTCTTCCAGTGAAGCTGAGTGAAATTGTGGAAGAAATCAAAGAAGCAGCAGAATATATTCTCAACATGGCTGCCAAGTTTGGAGCAAGGTAATGTTACAGATGCCAATATATTTTTTTTTTTCTTGGCACAGTTCTCTCTCAGTCTCATTCTTAAGTATTGTGGTCTGATTTGCAGCTGCACTTCCAACTGAGCAGTGACTGTTGTGATTGTTTTCATCTCAGACCTGCAGAGGGCAGTGAATTCAGTCATCTCACTGACAGTATCATAGTCTTCTTTCACCTTTGCCACTTCCATTGCTTCTGAGCCATCTAGCAACAAAGTCTCTATCTTTTTCTGTCTTCCCTGAGTTCCTCTTCCTCGTGTACCAAGTTCTTCCTTCGTGCTGTGTGACATCATTCCTAACCTGTTGTTTGCATCATTATGTTTATCCTTTAGACATTTTCCAATAGTTTCATGTTCAGAGTTTTCTTTTGGATTTTATCATATTTTTTTCTAAAAATGTGCCATCTAGCAAGTAGCCTAGTCACTATCATGACTGAGCAATTCAGTTTTCCTTCATAGTTCTGTATAAAAATGAATATGCAGTCAATAAAGTAGTGTTAAATAAACTGTCATTTCCAAGTAGACAAACATGTAGCTGAAATCTTTAATGATTTTAGAAACAAAGAAATGTATGTGTCCTGCTTTTGTTTTGCTTTTGTTTGTTTTTGACAGATCTGTGTGGTTTTGTGGCCACTCTGCAGGAGCACACTTAGTAGCCATGCTTCTATTCTCAGGGTGGTTGGACCAATTGGATGACAACATGTGCTGTACTGTTAAAGGCTTTGTATTAATCAGTGGTATATATGACTTGACACCCCTTGTCAGCACATATATCAATGATGCCCTCAAGCTGTCCAGGTGAGTACTGTGTCTTATTGTGACATTTTCCGTTAACTGAAATTAACCATATGCCAACCGCAATTGAAATTGAATGCTTTCAGCACTGCTCAGCATATTAAAACAGAGCAAGAGAGGTCAGTTATATCATGTCTCAAAGCTTCAGGATACAGTGACTTCTTAACCTTTATCATAACAGGAACAGGGATTTTTAGTCTCATGATACATGCTGTGTTGTTGGCACCTGTGTGTTAATTCACATGTAACATTCTGTTATCAAAAAATATATGATCTTAAGGCAGGTGATATTCAGAAAATACTTGCTATCATTCAGTTCATAATTTCCCGTTTTCCATCATCATCATCAGTAATCTGTCAGACGACATGTCCACAGTCTCTTCCAAAACAATTCCTCCACTTGATGCGATCTAGAGCTTTCTCCTTCAAATGACAGTATCCTCTTCTGTCCCCAAGGTCATCCAGCATCTTCTTACGTCTTCTTCCTCGTCTTCTTGTCACTTCTATCCTCCCCTCTATCTTTCCTTCGATAACTTCTTTTAGAAGGCAGTTTCTGCGTAAAACATGACCAATCCAATT